AGCAGTGATGCCCACTGCAGAGCAGTGATTCCCATTGCAGAGCAGTGATTCCCACTGCAGAGCAGTGATTCCCATTGCAGAGCACTGGTTCCCATTGCAGTTTAACTCTGTCCTAAGCAGTTGTGCTGGGCCAGGGGGGTTGCTGTGCAGGTTGCTGGGCATGCATGCAACAAGAGCCTGCCAGGTGCCCTCAGCCAAGCTACCACCTGTCTTGCCACCTCCTCCTGTGGGCACCTGCACAGGCTCTCCGGGTGCCAAGGAAGCCTCAGGCATACGGGTATGGAAACCCCACTAGTGGCACAAGGAGCTGGTGCTGAAACAATGACACTGGCAAGGTGGTTGGTGCGTCCACACTGCAGAGGTGGGCACACACCCATGTCTCAGGGGTGGCAGCCAAGCCTAGCCTAAGGCTCCTCTTCCTGGTTAATTCTTTTTACAAGCAGGCAGCCTGAAATCCTGAACAAGTAAATGTTGGGTAAAAGTAAGGATTTTGGTTTTTTTGTTTTTCCTTGTCAAAACCTGTTCTTGAAATGTCCCTTCAGGGAGACGTGTCGGTCAGGCTGGTGTTAAACCTACTTAATCTCTTTGCAGCGTGGAATAAAGCCCAGTGATCTACAGCCAGCAGACCCTTGCCTTGACATCCCTGTTTTTAAAGGACTGTGGTTACAAACTGCAAAGCCCTTACTTTTCCTTACAATGCTGTATTTATCCCTCCCCTTATGGCTTTGGTAATGAAATTTGAGCCATTTTTTGTGCACTAAATTTAGGGAGGCCAAAAATATTTGCATACAAATATGATTGGTCTTTCAAGCGTGCAAAATGAGCAGAAAATAACAAATCTGGTGTTGGACACAAGCAGAGTTCAAGTATTTTAAAATTAAAATAATTTTAAAGAATCTATATCTATGATGGCAGATGAGCTTTTTCTGAGGAAAGAAAACCTCCTCTTTCTCATTATATACAGACTAAATGCAGATATTCAAGTCAGATATGGACTGAATTTTAAATGTTACAATGGCACTTATTCTGCAGGAAATGCCATGTCTGTAATGAATTGTAAATTATTTTTAGTTGCTACTGGAAACAGAGGAAGGGGGGGAAATAATCAATATTGACACAACCCTGCTTTATTTTTAAGCAGTGCTGATCTTTGGTGACATGAATTACAGGAGGAGAGAGCTAGAGCTGAAGTGAAGTGCATAAACTGCAAAACTATTTTGGTGTTTAGAAAAGGGCTACAGCAGCCAGACAAATGTGCTGCTTGCACATTGCTGCTGGGATAGTCATAGAACAAGATCATTGTTCCATCCTCTCCTGTGAGCTGGGCAGGTGTGGTGGGAGGCAGGTCTGGTGGGAAGCTGCAGTCCATGAACAGTGGTGGTTCTGGCCATGGTTCATCACTACACTGGTGCTGGTGCTGTCCCAGGGCCTGGGCACAAGGACAGTGACACCAGTGACCATGCCAGACCTTGCTTCCTCCTGAAGACAAGTTGCCTGACTTTTCTTTCTCCAGTAACTTTGGCGATGATGATCTTTCAGCTGAGTGTGACACAAGAGAGTGGCTGGAGTCCTATAGCCTGTTTGATGCAGTGAAGTACCCCCCACCCCCCACCCATGCCCTCTTTCTTACATGAAATGGAATAAAAGCCCTTTGAAGCAAGGTGCAGGGGTGATTGATTAACTTTTATCTTCTCATGATGCATGGCTAGCTAGAGCATGTGACAAGGCAAGCTGTTCAGAGAAATCATTGTGTATATAGCTGGTCTGTTCCCAGGATCCACAAAAGGATGCAACACAGTCAAAATGCACTCAGAAAAACAAGATCACCGAGCTCCTTTGCTTAAGCAGTTGATGCTAAGTTAGTTCTAATGCAATATCCTAAAATTCAGAGATGCTGTGATGTGATCACACTCTTGTATAAAATGCCATGGAACTTCTGATTACAGAACAGATCAAATTTTCTGTTGCATGACTCATTCTGAGGAAAAGAATGCCATACATTCAATATGAACAAAAAAAGTACAGTCAGGAAGGCCCTCCTTATAAGGTTGTGCAGATGCAACCAGTCATAAGTGCAAAGTCCAGGCAATATTTTTTGATATGGAGTAAAATTGACAGCTGAATTGTAGACAGCCTTTGGTAAATTTTATCCACTGAACCCAGAATAGCCACAGCAGAGACCTAAGTCAAGTGTCTGCCTGACTTTACGTGCTGTAAATCTCAGGTGAGTGGTTAAGGAGGATGGAATCTCGCTGATGTGCCAATTAATCTGGTTAATATGCACTAATCTAAAGAGCAGGGATAGATGGATGGTGTTCAGCAGTATGATTTCATGGCAAAGGATTTGCTAGATGCATTAGGCATTTGGTGGCAGAATGCACAAGAGTCTGATGGAAATACCTGCAGAGGCACAAGAAAAATCCTGAAAATCTGAATCAAGTAATTTTCTTCTGGTGTTTTTTGTTATTGTTTTTTTGTTTGTTTTGATCACACTGAGTGTGGACTGAGGTGTATTAGCAACAGCAATGTCTGCAGTGCTATGTTTTGTGGGCATTCAGAGCCTTGCTGAAGGGGATGTGGTGTTCAGCAGTACAGTTCCCAGCTGCCCAGGGGGCACTTGGGCCTTTCCTTCTGCTTACTGCAGCAGATGCCTTTATTTTTCCCTTCTTCACAGTTGCCATCATGGGCCCTAATGCAACATTTCCTTTGGGTCTTTTTTTCCTGGGTCTGGTGGTGAAAGGGAGCATGTTGGTTGGTATCTGGGGCCCGAAACAAACTGCTGCTGAAGAGTTTCAGCACAAAAACTGATACTATATTTTACTCATAAAACTACGTGAGGTGAAAAAGATCTCTATTTCCAGATCTCCATGTCAACTAGAGCAGATGCAGCCAGGATAGTCTTTTTGTCTGTGTTCATGGCTACAATCATTTCTACCTTTCTGTTCTTAGGACAATTTAATTTGGTAACATTTATTGGTTTGAAAGATATATTCATCCTAGGGTTTTTTTCCATTTTGTGCTGTAAAAGGTCAAAATTGTCAGGAAAGATTTATTTTTGGATAAAAGGAATCCTTACTTAAAAGCCAAAGTAAAACAACCTTCCTGGAATAGAAAGGAAGCAGAAGGAAGAAGCAAAAGCCCAGAGCATCAGCTGAAGCAACGTGTAACATCTCGTGCTTTGTGATTTATGGCATAGTAGTATTTACTCACCCTAGTGATCCAGGCGTGCAAGCACTACCCTTTGCACTTGGAGTGCTGACAATGGAGTTAAAACTGCGAGGGCATCGCCAGCAGTGCCTGGCAGTGGTGCCAGAGGTGAGTAGTTCCTCTCTGGCTCCATCCCCGTCTGGGGGAGTGCCAGCCTGGTCCCAGTCCCATGCCACAGCCACTGGCAGAGGCAGAGCCCTGAAGGAGTGAGGAGCTTTCCCTCTCCCACACCAAAGGCCAGGGCAGGGGGCTACGGGGGCAGGGGAACCTTCTACCTTATCTTTCCCCGACATGCTTCAGTTTTTCCATCTGCATCAGGCACAGAGTGAAGGAGTGTCATTCCCCCCGCACAGCCCCCTCCCCCAGGGGCACCCTCCTGTAGTTGGTCTGGAGCTCCTGGGCCTCCCACGCCTGATGATGAGGCCACAGATGCCGTGGACTGTCCCTGCCCTGTGACAAAGCCAGACCTGTGCTACAATGGCTCAGTCAATGAACTAAAGAAAATAAATAAAAAAACCCTTGCTGGCCATAGCTATTGAAAGGCCAGTTCCTGCCGAGGCATGGGCACAGCCAGGCACACACACACACACACACACACACGTGCACACACACTCACACTGACCCTTGTGCACAGGGTTTTCCTCGCACTTGGGCTCACACCCACCTCCAGCCCCTGCGTGTCCCCAGCTGCGTTCCTGCCCCACAGCCCTAGGCGTGTGTCCCTGCTGCTGGCTTGGCTGGCACCCACCCCTCGAGGTGAGGGCCATCTTCATCCACCCCCGAGGTGCAGGTCGGGTTTCTCAAGTCCCCCCTCCCAGCCCGTGGGAGCTGAGAAGCAGAAGGCAACGTCTGTATCACGTCTGCCTTTTTGGTTTTTTTTTCTTTTTAATCCCTTTTCCCCCTTTCACTCTTCTTTTTTTCCTCGCCTCCCTTTTCCCTTCTCTTGCCTTTTTTTTCGCGTTTTATTTTTCCCTCTTTCGTTTTTACTCTTCTCCCCTCTTTTTCATCTCCCCCCTGTTTGCCGCTCCCGGTTTTGCCCGCCCGGGTGGATGGGGGTCCCTCCGCGGCTCCGCCGGTCGGGCGGGGCGGGGCGGGGCGCGGCCGTGACGTGCGGGCGAGGGCGGTATAAGCGGGCGCTGTCCCGGTGCTGAAGGCGGCGGGAGCGGCAGGAGCGGCGGGAGAGGCAGGAGAGGCAGGTAGGGATGCGCCGGGCGGGCATCGGGGAGCCCCGGTACCGCCGACCCTCGGCTGCACGGGGGGGCTCGGCCGGCACCGGCGGGGAACCCACACCGAGCGAGGGGCGATGCCACGCAGCGAGGCAGTGGGGCTGGGGCTTGCGATGAAAAATATCTCTGCAAAATGTGACCCTGTCACTGTGCACATTATATACGTTATATACGTGTTCTCAGCGTCGCTCGTGGCTGAAGACGGGAGGCAGAGCGCTCCCGTCAGCGATGGCGTTCAGTCGTGCCGGGTCACCGACATAGCACTTCAGGCACTCCGAGTACGGGCAGAGATGTTCCCTGGGATGCAAACAGCGCCTCGACTCGCTTCCCAGATGTGTCCGTATGCAAACAGTCGTTATATTCGCTCAGATCTGCCGGGGATTTGGGTTTGTGCCCTTCTGCTCACCTCGTTGTTGTTTTGTTCAATGTTTTCAGTCCCTTGCACAGGGTAAAGGATTAGAGATGCTTTTAAACAAGGCAAATTTGCGGCAGTCGTGTTATTTATGGAAAAAACAAACAAACAAACAAAAACGGGCGGGAGAGTGCATGATATATTTATTTACCTTATGAAAAACTGCTGTTAGATTTTGCCTCAGACTGTCAGGGAAGGGACACATCTCCAGGAAAACCTATGAGTTTTCATAGCAAATTTTCACTGGAAACATTACACTCACATCAGAGACAACTGCTGAGAGAGATCAAGAGAAAAAATTACTGCTACCATGGAAACATCCCAGAAAGGAGATTATTTTTTGTGTTTGTTTTTTAGGGAACTTTTGTCAGTCTGCACTGCCTTTGTACGTTTTAAATTGTGAACATGATTACTTCATTTTGTAAAGAGGAACTTCATCTTCATTTGTTGGCTAAAAGATGATTTTCCTGTTTGTTAGGTGCTAATAGAGGAGAAAATATGCTCTCCATCTAGACTAGCTTCACAATTATCCATCTGGAGACAAAAGAGCCCTTTTAGTATATTGACCTTTGAGAGACACAGCAGAGAATGTTTACTATAGATCCTAAAGACAGTCTAAAATGTCCTCTGTTTAAAAAAAAAAAAAGGAATTAAAGTCTGAAGGGCTGGGGAGGAGTCCTCTTACCTTAGAGTTATATTTAATGACAAGATTTATGACCAACACTCAAAGCTTTTAAAATAAATCATTCCCAAATCCATTTGACAAGGCTTTCAAGTATTATCTACCAATAAATTAGAAGTGGAAATTGACTTAGAGGCAAATGCACACAAAATATGAAGACAGGAGCCAATGGCCTGTTATTCCTGCAAAGGAAATATCCAGCTGAGCAATGTCCTTGTGGAACACTAAACTAAACTTTGCCTGGCTGCACACATTTTGATTTTAATGGGATGCCAACAGCTCTTACAAAGGCTGTAACAATCCAAATTGTGTGCAGCGAAGGAGGGTGAGTTCCTGGTCTTTGGGAGTGGGAGGTGCTTGGTAAATGATTATGGAATGAATTTCCCTTCCCCCACCCTTCGAAAAGGACAGTTTCTCACTCACTAATCAAACTAACTCTGTTAATAATCAGTCTCTTTGCTGGAAAAGAAAGCCTTAATTTAATTTGTTTGCTACAGAAAGTAGCAAATTGCCTTTTTTCTTTTTTTTTCATGGAGACACACATTTATGCACAGGGCCAGTGCCTTTTCCGTGACAGAAAGTGAAACAATGTGTGAGCTTTGTTTCAGGGCAAATTCAGATCTGGAGGGTGGGACCTTCTAATCAGCTGTTGAACTAATCCTATGTGAAATCAATGCTCAAACATATCCAGGCTTGAAGCCAGAAATGTTTGGGGAAATTGTTTGCTATCATGACTTAGTTTTCCCAAGCACACTGAAGGGGAAAATAGCAGCTCTCTGAACTGATAGTGCTTTAATTATTTAGTTAAGTCACATTATGTTAAGAACAAAAACTGAGCGGAAAAATCTACAAGTGAGCTGAAATGAGCATATTCATGCTCACTCTCTACTTACAGCAGTGGGTAAACAGTGGTATACATAGCTCATTCAGTTTGTCATGAACCACCAATGTCTCAACAGGATGCTTTTACCAAGCCAAAAACCAAAGGAACCAAAATAGGTCAATTAATCAAAGCAGTTTCTATCTTTATAATTCCTTTCTCGTTTTTGTACTTTATTTGTTAGTGTAACTGGATCAGAAAAAAGTCTGATCTGTCTCATGGCCCAAGTGTATCAGTGCCTGAGCATCTCTTAGGAAATATGACTGATGCCAGTTTTTCTCTGTGCTGTGTGGAGGGTGCTCAGCTCCCTGCAAGGCAGGGCTTTTACAGCTGTATCCTCATACACAGTGGTGCTATAATCATCTTAATTCAGCTGGAGGCATATTTATCCCAATTCTGCTCCAGAGTTTATTGTTGACTGGCATAAGCTGGGCAGACATGGGCTTCTACTGATCTATTCTAACTGAATTTGCCAATGGTCATGTTTCTGCCTGTCCTGGGACCTGATTCAATTTCTGCTGAAGTGAATGAATGAGCAAATGAATGAAATCACCACTCAGAACCTACCTACTCGAGCTCATTTCCAAGATGGGTTTTAAGGGATTCAGTAAAATTATATTGTACCTTTAGGATAAATTATAGTTTGTCACTCATATCGGGGATCACTGCCCATAGAAAAGCGACTCATAGAGTCATTAATTAAAATTCACCTGTAATACAAATAATGGGGTTTTAAAATGAAATAGCAAAAAAGGAAGAAATAGCACTATCAGTAATGACAGAAATAAACTTGCAAGTAATTTTATATGCCATGTTCTCCACTTCATCACATTAATTTTATTACAGTCTAGCACTATTCAGAAATATTATCCTGGCATGAAATTAGATGCCTTATGGAGCAATCTCACAAAATAATTCTGTCTGCAGTTTTAATATTAATATTTTGAGCAGCATTTAAATATATGGATACACTGATTTTACCATTCAGGAGCTTCATTTTCATAACCAAAATGGCATCTAGATTCCCCTATGGGCATTTCATGAGCTATATAGCATTGGGATTTTCTACTTTTTTGCTGCCATTGGAAAATTAATGTTCATAAAGTATGTGGAGCTTAAAGATAAGAAATTTCTAGCATACCTCAGTTTCCTAAGTCTGTCTCCATGTGTTAACTGCTTCTTTTTTCCTTTTTCTTCTTTATTTAAAGGAAATATTTTAAATATGGCAGAAACTAAAACCTTCCAGCCTGGAGCAGCCTGCACTCTCACCTTTTTCTTTGTCCTCATCTGTTGGGTTGATGCAGCCTCCTTCCAGCAGCATCAGCTGCTTCAGAAAGATCCAGACTATGTAATGAAAAACTTACAAAGACTCCCAAACCCTGATATGATCAAAGCACTGGAATACATAGAAGATCTTCGCAAGCAAGCTAACAAGGGAGAAAGCAGCCCTGATTACAACTCTTATCAAAGTGTCCCATATCTCCTGCAACAGAAAGAAAGCAAGGATCAGATTCACCTACCAGATAATGTAAGGGATTCTTTGACTGAAGATGAGTCCCAGTGGGTTAAGGTAATGTTGGAAGCCTTGCGGCAAGCTGAGAAAGAGTCAAAAGCTGGCCCAAAGGAGAATAAACCTTACGGTCTGAGTTCAGATAACAGCTTTCCAGCTGGAGTAAGTGATGATTACGAGGCTTACAAGTGGCCTGAGAGGTGGCAAAAGTATCTCAAAATGCCGCTTGGGCACTATGAAGACAGTTCAAGAGACAGTCCTTTCAAGCGTACTAATGAAATCGTGGAAGAGCAGTACACCCCCCAAAGCCTTGCCACACTGGAGTCTGTGTTTCAGGAGTTGGGGAAGATGGCAGGACCGAGTAACCACAAGAAAGAAAGGCTGGATGAGGACCAGAAATTGTATACAGACGATGAAGATGATGTGTATAAAGTGAATAACATTGCCTATGAAGATGTGGTTGGAGGAGAAGATTGGAATCCCATAGAGGAAAAAGTGGAAAGCCAAACCCAGGAAGAGATAAAAGACAGCAAAGAGGAAATTGATAAACATGAAGAGGAGATTGACGATGAAATGAAAAGATCAGGGAAGCTCAACTTCCTTGAGGATGAAATAAGAAGAGACAATAAAGATCAAATGTCAGAGGATGTTTCAAAGCTAATGAATTATTACCTGAAGAGGCTGATGGGTAGTGCTGGGAATAGGAAATTAAGGACTGGAGAACTTGAGGAAAAAAGAGCATCAATGTTTTTGGATAAACAACTCGATCCTCAGTCTATAGCGCAGCTGATAGAAATCTCAAGGAATTTACAAATTCCTCCTGAGGATTTAATAGACATATTGAAAGCTGGAGACAAAAAGCAGCTTCAGAGTGAAAGGTTGGAAGCTGAGCAGGAAGTAGAATTCCCAGAAGACCTCGACGAGATAGCTGAAACCAATCTAGGACAGAGCGATATATTTAAAAATAATGTAAACTCTAAAAACGGGTACATGAAGCAGCCTCTTATTCCAGAAAATCTACCTGAAGACCTCAATATTGAAGATATTGTCAGTCTTCTGGGAAATGACAATTTAGCTAATCAGAATCCCTCCTATTTACTAAACCGTCTTAATCAAGACAATGATTTGCCAAGACTGTCTTACGTTCCCAGAAGATTGAAAGGACACCTGTTTCCTAAAGCTGCCTGGATGAACGACTTGGAAAGGCGACAAATGGAGTATGAGAAACTGAATGAGAAGGACGAAGAACTGGCCGATTACTTGGCCAAGGTGTTGGCAAAATATCCCGAAGTAATCAATACAAACCAGATGAAACGAGTCCCAGCTTCTGAAAGCAACCTGCAGGAAGATGATCACCTGGAGCAGGCCATCAGAGAGCACCTAAATCAGCTGGAACCACAGGAGGCTGCGAAGTTGGCTTCGCTCAGCAAAAGGCTTTCCATGGCAGGGGAAGCCGATGACACACAGAACAGGCAGTATCTGGATGAGGATATGCTAGCAAAGGTGCTAGAGTATCTAAAACAGGAGAAATCAGAGCTTGAAAGAGATCACATTACTAAGCGAGCGATGGAAAACATGTAATTGTTCCCCAAATACTATTTCTCTTCAATGTGTTGACTTCTATCCCAATTCAGTTGTGATTTATTCCTGCTCTCCCACTAAACAACTATGGTAGACTATTTACCATTGAACAGTCTGCATATCTTTCTCAGAGCTGTTATATTGTTTATTGATATACTTATATGTTATAAATTATGGGGCAAACAACAAATTGCTTAAAGTGTTTTAAGAAAAAATTTAATGATATCAAGTAAAACTATAATATGTAAACAAATTACCTTTGCATTGTTAATAAAACATGATAAATGAAGAGTGACAATTATAATTTGAAATTTTTAAGATTAATTGGATTATTTTGTTACTGTCTGTAGTGGTTTTTGTGGAGTATCAAATAAAAAAATAAAGCATTATATATATATAGTTTTATTTACAAGGCTTTTTCTATTCAGTGTTTTATTGTTGATGAATAAATTATTTCTGGACAATCGACTGTGTTTCTTTGTGACAGTTGATAAAGTCATACTAATTGGAAACATATTTTACTTCTACGGATGACTTTTTTGAAATATACTATTTTTCCCATAGAATATAGATGGTATCATAAACTTCTGGTTTTCTGGGCTGTAAGGACACCAATTGGCATT